GTGTTTGTGAAAGGGGAAAAAAAAAAAAAAATAAAATAAATAAATAAATCTATATATGCATAAATAAATTATGAACAGACCCACCTCCTCCTCCTCCCACTCGAATATGGTGTTGATGCATGTTGTTATACAGTGCGTTTAAAATGGGGGGATGAGGTGGCGACCGGCACAGACCCACCTCTTGCCCAGAGAGCAGGCGGCGCCCGTTCACCCCTCATCTCCGCACAGAACCCTAAATGTCTACATGCTACATATGAGAGTGGGCACAGGTCCGGGGAGGTGGAAATGGTAGTACATCCCACCACCTAAGTGCGATCATGTGCCCACTCCAGATCCTATATATGGCTGTGTCGTGAGAGTGTTATAAGTGAGTGTCTAGGTTGTATATTAAAATTAGGGCCCAGGACCCCACCAGCCACGGAGATGGATGATTCTCCCCGTAGCTCAGTAGTGCACCTGAACCCCAAAACCCTGTTTGAGTGGTGGTGTGGTGGAGTGGGCGGAGGAGGACGTTGGGATGGGGAGGTGAACTGAGGTGGCAATGCCCCCCCAGGGGACCAGCTCCCCCACTGACCCCAATAGGCACCCCCACTCTCCAAGATCCACCAGGGGACAGAGGCTCTAACAGAGATACCTAGGAGGAGGTGGCAGCCGCACCACCAGGGATCAAGGCCACGGACCGGCACATAGCCCCCGAGGACCAACCAGAACCAGGGCCAGCAACCCAGACCCATCCCGAAACCGTCCAGACGCCCCAACCCGATTCCCAGCCCAACACCCAGCCCCCCAACCAGAGAGGCCACCAAACCCCAACCGGGACAATCAGCCAGGAGTGCCCAAACAGTCAGAGATAGAGCACTACAGCGACCAAGAGCGCCCCCCCACCCCAAAAAAGCAAAAGACCAGTCCACCCATAACAACACCCACAGCGAGAGTGCCCCATGCAAGTGAGGGCACACACCCAGCGAGCCCAGACTCCCCCGGCCCCACAGCACACAGCCCCCCACACGAGAGCCCCCAATATACCCCACCCCAGTCACAGCCCCCCACAGCCCAGCCCCCCAGCCAAGCACCACGCCGCGGCCACCGCCAGGCAAGAAGACGCCCAGGTTGAGCCCGCCGGCCCCCTCCCCCAGCCCCCCCCCCCCCAAAAAAAAAAACAGACAGAGGTTAATGGCAAGCCACCAGCACCGGTGCCATCTTCCCGGAAGTCTTGTATATAAATATAAATATTTACACGGAAATATTTTTTAAAACTTATTATTTATTTATTTATTATTATTATTATTTTTTTATTAAATCTGTACAGGTAACATACACAGATATGTACAGTAAATGTTTTTCTCTGATCAGTTCCTGTAACATGGCTGGTTAAAAATAATAAAAATAAAAATACAGTAGTCTACCAGGAAAAGTCATTGAACACTTTCTTCATATTCACATAATTAGGCAGCAGAGTAAAGCTTGAGAAAACGCTGTTCACACAGTTTTGAAATGTTACAGATTAAAGCTTTTTTAGCACGACAGCAAACTTCTTTGGTCCTGTTTGTGTTCAGACTAGCCGTTAGCTCATCAGTGGTTCATTCAACAACAGGTAAGATATCTCTCGTCGTAAGTTCTGCACAGAAACCTACTTCAGAATGGACTGAATGTTACTTTAACGTTGAGTCTAGATCAGGGGTCACCAACCTTTTTGAGACTGAGAGCTACTTCAGTGGGACTGAGAGACACGAAGGGCTACTTGTTTGATACAAACAAATTTGCGCGGCTCACCTTTATTTATAGTATTGTAGTGAACCAGATGACCTCAAATCTACCAGATGGACAGAGACTGTTATTTTCATTGATCTGAATAAGTCTGGGCCATCTGATGACTTTCTTTCTTGAATTAATCAAGCAGAAAAGACAATTCTTTATAATCATTACTGTCTTACAAATGTTTTGATAATCAAATTGTGTTAGTTCACTCAATGCTTATAGGTTGAAAAGAACTACTCATCTTTATTTTACATAAACAGTAAGTAATGATTTTTATTCCTCATTCCAAGAAGAAATCACCTGAATAAGCATTCCTTGATTTTCTGTCTGAAATGAGTCAAGTCGTAAGTATGTGAAAGGTTGGTTTTCGGTCAACTAAAATGTTTACCGAGAAAAATGTCATGTTTAAACTTTTTCAGAAGATTACCAAGAGTTGACTCCACGAAGTCTGCTGTTGCTGCAATAATCTTTTCTGTATGTGAAAACAAATTTCATTCTCTGACCTCGACTGTTGATAAACACCTTACGTCAAAACCACTCCTCTTTCTGGTCCTTCCACGAATCAGAAAGCTCTAAATTGAACAGGAAGTCGACCCAAATAAAATGTGGCAACTTCCCAGTTCATGTGAGATTGAGAGTGCAGCCGGTTCTGAAAGTTTCAGAGCAATGAAGAGTCCAAGAGAGCAATGAAGAATCCAGAGGTTTTTGGGATTATAATTCTGTTTTGAGCTAACTACGCACGACTCTCTGAAGGTTTGGTAGTTCTCGACGGAGACGCTGAAACGAGTCAGAAAGGAACTACTCCGACGCTGATTCATCATCAACAGGTAGATGGTTCTATTTTGACCAAGTGTACCGTGAGAAGCTGAGATCGGACGGAGCGTGCAATTTCTGGTTAAACAGATTAAATTTCCCTCACATATTTCCTCTGTAAGATAAATCTCCTTTCATCTTAAACTCTTCTCTCTCACAAAATCAGTACAGATATTTTAGAAATATCTGAAGCAAAGTCCTCAAATCACCGCCGAGTGATTTGAAGTTCATTTTCTGTGAAACTGTCTGTTATTATTTTCATATTTTGCCAAATTAATGTAAATGTTTGATGTTAAACTTTGATTCTGAAAATAAATGATTCCATTCATTTGATGGGTCAAAGATAATAACGTCTCTCGTTCGCATTCCTTTAAATTCAATGCACGGCATTACACAGTCAGAAAGATGAAGAACTCGTGAATATAGTATGCATATAAACGGGGATATATTGTCATACTACAAGTGACACGTACCTCACGTGACTCACTACAGTATTAATAATAATATATTTACATACATGTGAGTATATGATTGCCTGATCACATCTGATCTGATCTATATTATTAAAAACTCCCCACAATGGTTATCAGTAAGGATTTAGCTTGGTAAATATGATCGATTATTATTGATAATTAGTGATTAGAACTCTCAATTGAGAACTTGAGTCCTCAGTTTGAATCCCTTTTTGGTTCTTCTGTGTGACTGTAAATTGTTCCTAGCTGTGACTGGGAGTGTAGATGGTTGTTTGTCTCTTTGTCTGTCTCTGGGACAGACTGGAGACCTGTCCTGGGTGTCCCCTGCCTTCACCCAAAAGCAGCGGAGATGGGCTCTTGTCCCAAACAAAGGGGACAAAACGGATGATTTACTACAGCAGAAAACTGATATTTAAACATAAAACACCATTTATTTGATGTTAAACTCGATCAGTAACATTTGAATTCAGTGTATTTTATAAATATTTTATTAACTGTTTTGTAGGAATGAACACATTTGTAACATTCATTCAAAATATGCCTTTTACTATTAACAACTTCTGTAACATTTTAAGAACATATCAACAATGAAATCTTCCAGTCAAGCCCTGTTTGCACCAACTGTTGTGTTTATAACACTTCAGAACAACTCTAACTTGTAGATACAAATGATCAGTAATGTAAAAAAACAAAGTGACATTTTAAATGAATCATGTGACATTAGTAATGGTCCTCAGATCTGCAGCATTTTTAATAATACTTTATATATGCAGCCCTTTAAAATAACCACAGCTGCAACAAAGTGCTGTACATATAAAATCATTTTAACAAATCATCGCATCTTTTACTCGTTTAAATAAATTATTTTTCACATATTTCATCATTGCTTTTTTCAAGACCTCATCTGAAAATGCCTCATGAAAATAATCTGCCATGTAAGCCTTTAACTCTGACACTCTTCTGTCTGTTGTGAGCCACCAGGGGGTAGTTAGCACTGAAGCTAACATGTTAGCTGGTGAAGTGTCACTCCATGTTGTTTTGCTGTCGCCACAGACACTAATGAGACGCAGACACACTTGTCTTTCACATCTGTAAAAAGACCTCTTCCTCCCAGTCACTGTGAACATGTTTTCTTATGTTTTTCTGCCATTTTAACCTCTTGGAGGTAAAACTAGCTTGTAGCTGAACCGCTGCAAACATGGGAGTGGTCTACGCATGATTCTGAACTTTGACCCCAGACAAGATTGCTAAACTGTATATGTAAAACTATTTCGTTTTAAAAATTGTATTAATCATTTTAATTTTAATGTTCAATTTAATTTCAAATGTTATTTCTTAAATTTAAAAATATAATTAATGACAATTTTTTGGTGGAGCTCTTTGATCATGAGCGCTATTTTTAAAACATGCCCCATGGGCAACTCATGTGGGCCCTGCGAGCTACCAGATGCCCACGGGCACCGCGTTGGTGACCCCTGGTCTAGGTTAAAACACACAGACAACAGCTGGTTCCAATTTACTGATAGCCTATAGGACTTGTTAGACAACTAAAACAGTCGTATTAAAACAAAGCTCACCTTCCAATGCTTGTGCTGGATGTTAAAGATCTTTGTTGTTCGCCGTCGCAGAGCGAAGAGGGGGACTGGACGTGCTGTCTGCCCTTGAATGTTGTGAGCATATCTTACAAAGAAGTGAGGCACTGTGCTGGTGTGTGGCTGCATCTAGGTGTCAAATCAAATCCCCCAGCGGCGTGTCGTGTACTATTGAATAGTGAATGTTTGTAGCTTTGGAGATGAGTGTTTTTCTGGACTGGAACTGGGCACAGTGGTTCAGTTGGTAGACTGCTGCCTCTCAGCGAGAAGGTCGCCAGATCAAATTAATTCTCTCGGCTTGTTCACAGTCGAGTTAGAGCAGGTAAATTTAACAAAGTACAAAGATGTCCTGTGTTTCTTTCAGAAATTAAAAGATGAGGTGGTCGCCTTTCTCTGGAGTTATACTACAAACAAGGTTTGTGTCCTCGTCGCACTGTTGTGTGTTTCTGCTTTTTTTACGTTAGTTTTTAACATTTTCTCCTTTGCACTGCCTCAAATTTCAGCTCAGTATTCAGTCCCCAGAGGATGTTAGTTACATGTATTTGTATGTAAACACTGTGTGGACGTGGAAGCTGACTGTGTGTGTTTTTCTGTACAGGATGCAGAGGTGGCCAGCTGTGGCTACAAAGCTTTGGCAGCTTTTCCTGAACCAGTGCACACCATACTTCACCTCCCTGAGACAGTAAGATTCCTGCTTCCTGCTTTATTTGACTGTTTTTCCAGGTTTTTTAACCATCTGAGCACAAATTCAAGTTTCTTTATTTGTGTAACTGTAGTTCCATGATATCTGGTTTAGAAGGTGGATCAGACCCAGAACGCAGTCAGATTTCAGGAGTTCAACAAATCTTCACTTTATTATAATAAAACCAAAGGCAGCATCTAAAATACACAGAAGGAACTTAGCTGGATAGTTCACAGCTGAGTAGGAAGCAGCTGGATGAGCGAGAGACATTCTTCTAAGTCTGAGGCGAGTTGAGTTTAAAGACAAAACTCTTGATTTACTGGTCCTGTGGTCATCAAGTATTTTCATTCATTCGACCTTTATTTAGACAGGCAAATCCCATTGAGCCTCGAGGACTCATTTACAAGAGAAACCTGATTTCAACAAAGAAAGATGATGACAACAGCGACAACAATAAACCGTTATAAAAAGTCATACAATTTTTTTTTTATTTATTTTTTTTTTACAAATAGGATGGCTAAAATAAAAAAATAAAAGTAACAAAAAACAGCTAGATTCTAAGGCAAATGTAGAAAACTAAAAACAGGAACATGTCTGCATTGGTCCCTTCCAGGAGTCCAACAGATTCTTAAAGCCACTTAGAGAGGTCAAGGTCGAGAGCTTCAAATCTTTTTGTAAGATATTCCAGGAAACAGGAGCGGAGCAGGAGAAGGCCCTTTTGCCTAGTTCAGTCCTCACTGAGGGAACACTGCAGGTAATAATGTCCTGAGAGCGCACGCTGTAGCTGCACTCACGCAGAGACATGTAGGAGGAGATGTATGAAGGCAGCAGACCAAGAAGTGATTTAAAGATGAAAATATACCAGTGGGAGAGTCTGTGTGAAATTAATGATGACCAGTTAACCAGTGAATACAGGGTGCAGTGGTGGGTACGATAATCACAGCCAGTTATGAATCTTAGTGCACCATGATAGACAGCATCCAACATCTGCAGGGTGCTTGTAGGAGCGTTCATGTAAATAATGTCACCGTAATCAATGGAGGGAAGGAAGGTCACAGATACAAGGTGTTTCCCAACATTCAGAGTTAGACAGGATCTGTTTCTGAAAAAGAAACCCAGTTTAACTTTTAGTTTCTTTACCAAGTTTTCCACATGGAGCTTAAGTATGGATCATGATCAAAAAAACGAGCTCTTGAATACAAGAGGCTGAAATGAGCTTTCTTCATACAGTGGACCTTCGTAGCCTTAGAGATGGAGTCAGGAGCTTGGATTAGATCTGCTGCTCCCCCATATAAAAAAACTGCTGAGGAGGGTCAGGCTGCCTGCTAGACACCTCTCTTTGGAGGTCTTCCAGGCATGACCCACTGGAAGGGCACAATGAGGCAGACCCAGAACTCTCATCAGAGATCTAACAAGGTCAAGTCGGGTCCTCTGGAGAGATTCTTGTTGAAACGTTTCGTCTTTCATCCAAAATACTTCTTCAGTCTGAGAAGCTGCAACAAACTCAGTCTCATAAGCAGCACCTTCTCAAAGTGGATCAACCAATTTATTGGTGACATGATCCAGAACTACACTGCCTGGCCAAAAAAAAGTTGCTACCAAAATAAAAGATCACAGTAATATTTCATTATTTCATTGGATCACCTTTAGCTTTGATCACAACATGCATTCACTGTGGCATTGTTTCGATAAGCTTCTGCAATGTCACAAGATCAATTTCCATCCAGTGTTACATTAATTTTTCACCAAGATCTTGCATTGATGATGGCAGATTCTGATCACTGAACAAAGCCTTCTCCAACACATCCCAAAGATTCTCAATGGGGTTCAGGTCTGGACTCTGTGGTGGCCAATCCATATGTGAAAATGATGTCTCAAGCTCCCAGAACCACTCTTTCACAATTCGAGCCCGATGAATCCTGGCAGTGTCATCTTGGAATATGCCCGTGCCATCAGGGAAGAAAAAATCCATTGATAGAATAACCTGGTCATTCATTATATTCAGGTAGTCAGCTGACCTCATTCTTTGAGCACATACTGTTGCTGAACCTAGACCAGACCAACTGCAGCAACCCTAGATCATAGACTGCTCTCACAGGCTTGTACAGTAGGCACTAGGCATGAGGGGTGCATCACTTCACCTGCCTCTCTTCTTACCCTTATGCTCCCATCCCTCTGGAACAGGGTAAATCTGGACTCATCAGACCACATGACCTTCTTCCATTGCTCCAAAGTCCAATCTTTATGCTCCCTAGCAAATTTAAACCTTTTTTTTTCCAGTAAGCCTCACTGATTAGTGGTTTTCTTAAGACTACACAGCTGTTTAGTCCCAGTCCCTTGAGTTCCCTTCACATTGTGCGTGTGGAAATACTTTTGTTTTTCTTCGATTTGATTTCACCAACTGTTTAAGTGATCGCTGATCACGATCATTCAGGGTTTTTTTTCGGACACATTTCTTCCTCGAAGACGATGGGTCCCCACTTTCCTTCCAGTTTTTAATAATGCATTGGACAGTTCTTATCAATCAACCTTTATTTATACAGGTAAATCCCATTGAGCCTCGAGGACTCATTTACAAGAGAGACCTGATTTCAACAAAGAAAGATGACAACAATGGACAACAGCAACAACAATAAGCAGTTATAAAAACTCATACTACAGTTTTTTTTTTTTTTTTTTTTTTTTTACAAATAGGATGGCTAAAAGGAAAAAGGTAACAAAACCAAAAAAACTGCTAGATTCCGAGACAAATGTATAAAACTAAAAACAGGAACATGTCTGCATTGGTCCCTGCCAGGAGTCCAACAGATTCTTAAAGCCACTTAGAGAGGTCAAGGTCGAGAGCTTCAAATCTTTTTGTAAGATATTCCAGGAAACAGGAGCGGAGTAGGAGAAGGCCCTTTTGCCTAGTTCAGTCCTCACTGAGGGAACACTGCAGGTAATAATGTCCTGAGAGCGCACTCCGTAGCTGCACTCACGCAGAGACATGTAGGAGGAGATGTATGAAGGCAGCAGACCAAGAAGTGATTTAAAGATGAAAATGTACCAGTGAGAGAGTCTGCGTGAAGTTAATGATGTCCAGTTAACCAATGAATACAGGGTGCAGTGGTGGGTACTTAACCCAATTTTAGTAGTTTCTGCATCCTCCTCAGATGTTTTCTCTGCTTGATGCCAATGATTTGACCATTCTCAAACAGACTGACATCTTTTCCACGACCACGCATTGTGTCTTTCCACATGGTTGTTTAAGAAATGAGAAGCAACTCATTGCACCAGTTGGGGTTAAATAACTTGTTGCAGCTGAAAGATAATCACCCATGCAGTAATTATCCAACAGGAGGCTCATACCTATTTGCTTAGTTCAATCCAGGTGGTGATTTTTTTTTTTGCCAGGCAGTGTAGTTGTTCACATGATAAAGAAGGACTATCAGCCTAATAATTGATCATTAGTGTCCTGATGGCTGCTTGCTATTAACAGAGGGCTGAGTGATACCAGCATTGTAAGAGGGGGACAGTTGGACACGGAGGCCTCCGCCCCTGTTTGCACCCCAGGGATGTGCACATCTTCATCCCTGAAAGAGTGACTGCAGAGTCCTGGCCTGATGAGGTTTCTTTTCTGTGCTGGTCCATCTGTTTGGCTAGTGGCTGTTTAGTTTCCTTGATGTAAGACTGATCACCCTCTGATACTGAACAGCATACACAATATTACTTTGTTTGTGCCAGGGGACTGGATCTTTGGGATGAACCAGTCTTTGCAGTAATGTATTTTGGGGTTTAAAAGCAACTGGACGTTGTGTTTAGAAAATAAAGTCTCAGTTTCTCTGAAACTCCCTCAACATACGGAATAGACCAGGTCCATTCCAGACCTCTCTGTTCTGGATACGGACCAGAGAGATAACTCTGGTCTAGGAAGGCCTCAGACCGCCCCAGGAGGAGCTGGAGACAGGAATGTCTGGGTGACTCAATGAACTGACCTTGGACAAGCAGCAGAAAAGGAATGGATTGATGGATCTTTAAATACCAGAACATCTTTGGTGTGAACATGAGGAGCTGCGACACCATCAATAAATTCAAAACCTTCTAATTTTTCTGAACTATGTCGATGAGCTAAACTGTAGAACAGGATGAATATTAACTCTTTCATTTTTATTCCCGTGGGTGTTCCTTAAGGAAAACTTCAACCACCTTACTGAACTGCTTAAAATAACTATTTTTAATGTTTCTCTCACAACCAACTAGTCAGTATTTATCTCAGACTGAAAAAGAAATCAAATTTAAAAGTATAGTTTTTTTATTTTAACTCTTTAAGGGTCTTCAGTTTTAAGAAACGTCACATTTCTTCTTTTTTTTTTAATTGACAAAATTATTTTATGGCAGTTTTGGGGAAACAAAAAAAATGACATCTTCGCCCCCATTAGTACACCCAAAATATTTTTTAGACAATTTTTGTGAAAATTCCAGTCCAGAGTTTTGTGAAGACCCTCCAGCCCATTGTACCCTTCAGATCCAGTAGCTGAAAATGAGACCTTGTTTTCTGTCAAACTTGCATCTCTTGGCAGTCGGACTATGAGTTTTTATTTATTTATTTATTTTAATCATTTAATTTTTTTATTATTCTCATTATTATTATAACTTTATCCATGGAAAACGCTAGTTTCTGATTTTTTGTTTTTCTACTTTTACTGAATCGAAGTGGTGGCTCAGAGGTTAGAGAAGGTGGGCCTGTGATCAGAAGGTCATTGGTTCGACTTCCCAGATCGACAATATCAAAATGTGGGTGGGAAAGTTGAAACACCCACTCCTGTCTCCACCCTCATTTGCCCACTCTGGGCCCTTGAGCAAGATCCTTAACCCCCACCATCTGCTCCCCCGGGCACCCTAGATAGCAGCTCTCTGCTCCACACAGAGGGCTGTGGTAGCTCGGTGGTCTGGGCTCGTGTCAGGAAGGACATCTGATGTAAAAACTATTACCAAGTCTTCATGTGAGATAGTTCGCTGTGAACAGCCGAAAGAAGAAAAAAACTGAATCAGGTATACAAGCGAGTTGCAGGAGCACGGTGCGCTCGCTAATGACGGGGACAAACCACCGGCAGTCAGCCGTGGAGCGTCTGACGCTGCAGCCTGCACGCATGTGAAGCAGCTTTTTCAGACTAAATGTTTACTTGTGCACATTATAAGAGAGTTTTTGTTCTTTACGTCCAAACTAAAACAATCCTGTCTGAGATGAGAGGCGAGACTCTGCAGCAACATCTGGCTGAGAGAAGGTTCTGCTTCTGGGCTGGGTTGAAGTGACCCGGCAGTGATTTTTACAGAAGTTCTCAAATATAAAAGCAGAACACCACCTAGTGAGCTAAAATAAAACTCTAAAGTATAGAGATGGAATAAAATAAAAAAACATTAGAAGTAAAAAGAAACATTACTGAGAGGATCCAAAAGTGTTCAGTCAGGTCCTCTGGACGGTTCTTTATGTTGAAATGTTTCCTCTTTCATCCAAAGGACTTCATCAGTTTGAGGAGCCACAACAAACTCAGTGCCACAAGCAGCACATTCACATAGTGGGCCAACCAGTTTGATGGTGATAAGATGGTTTCTGGAGTCCTCCCTCTCCCCCATCAACTCCTCTGAGGCAGCCATATTGACTTTGTTGGATTTTTACCTGACTACTGAGCATGAACTTTGGTGTTTTGAACCACTTCGGTCAGGGCTGCCTCAGAGGAGTCGACAGGGGAGAGGGCAGACTCCAGAAACCATCTTATCACCATCAAACTGGTTGGTCCACTAAGTGAGTGTGCTGCTTGTGGGACTGAGTTTGTTGTGGCTCTTCAAACTGATGAAGTCCTTTGGATGAAAGACGAATGTTTCCACAAAAACCAACGGTCCAGAGGACCTGACGGAACTTTGTTGGATTTTTTTACCTGGATTATTGAGCGTGAGCTTTTAAATTACTGAGAGGAATACATTATTTCATAATTTGATAATTATAGGATTAAAGTCATATTTCAGTGTATTCTGATGTGATTTTTCCTCTCAGGAACACGAGAGTGTAGTAAAGTTACTGTGAGGTACTGTGTACTGTGTGTACTCTGACAAAATTAACAAAAGGGAAAAAAATTGAATGTATTCATTGCACCAAAATAAATACAAAAATAAAAGCACAGACATAAACAAAAGTGTGGCTGTTTTTTCCCCTGAAAGATAAATCAAGGGTTAACAAAAGGAGGTGTTGACGCAGTGAAATAAATAAAATGGAACCATTTTCTGAATGTAAGTTATGAGTATTAATGATTTATATTTTTTATTCCGTGATGCTTTTTCTGTTCACGCCCTTTGTTTGAAACCATCATGATGTTGCAGCTGGATATGTCTCATCTGTAGGCTAGACCAGCTGTGAAGATGTGTGGAAGTGAAGAAGATGATGATGAGAAGGAAAACGAGGAAGAGGAGAAGGATCTGTCAGTCCCTGGTTCATCTTATGTGAAACTGATGGCTCTAACCTCCATCTCGGTTCTACCAGGTACATCAGCTCACTGAACGCTGTGATCCATATGGACCATAGCGCTTGGCGTTGGTACTTTTGTGTTGCTTGTGGTGCATCCAACTTCTTACTAGAACCAGCAGCCCTTCCAACATTTTTACCGGTAGTCTTATTCAGGTGGAGATTTGTGAAGAATGTTTTTGTAAAACTGCTTGTGTGGAGTAGATGGTGATGATGATGATGATCTTTCAGCCTTTGAGCTCCTCCTGACCTCGCTGGTTAAACAAGAGATGAGTCAGATGCCTCGAGGAGTCTACTTCTCCGCTCTGAGAGGGGGTGCGCTGCGGTCAGACCAAGGGAAGACGGTTGCAGGGATCCCGACCTTCATGCTCAAAACCTACGAGAAAAACAAGCAGCCTGGCCTAAAGCCCGGCCTGGCAGGTCAGTGAAACCTTCTCAGCTCACATTGTTTCTTCTCTGTGTGAACATCAGAAACTTGTTACGTTTGTCTCATTGTGTTCAGATGTTTGTGGGGTGATGAATTTCATACATTTGTGGTTTATAAAAACTCATCTCATCTGAGTTTACACTTGGGCCGCTCAGAATGTGGCTGGTTTTACTGGCTGATACAGATGGCTGTAGCTTTTCACACTTGTCTAACTGGATACTTGTGATAGTAGTCATGCTTTGAAATCTCCGTTCTTTTTATTTGATGCTCGATCTTCGCTGCAACAGTTGATAGAGCTGCAGACTCAGCATGAAGGTCGCTGGATCAAATCCCAGCCAAGGGCCTTGCTGGGTGGATTTGCATGTTCTCTCCGTGCATGCGCGCGTTTCCTTCAGGTACTCCAGTTTCCTCCCACAGACCAAAAACATGCATGTTAGGCTGACTGGTAACTGTAAATTGTCCCTAGGTGAGAGAGAGAGTGAATGGTTGTTTGTCTTGTTTGTCTCCATGTGTCCCTGTGATGGACTGGAGACCTGTCCAGGGTGTCCCCTGCCCCTCTCTCAGTGTTTGGACATGGGCACCGGCGACCCCCCAACTGACAAGGTGACCGGCTGGACAAAGAGCATTTCATAATACTCGTATGGACAGAAAACATCAAGGATCTCAGTGACCCTCACCTGGATGTGGGTTCCTGAGCCCCACCTTGGAGCCAGACTTTGGAGAGGGGCTCGTCAGCGGTTGCCTGGTGACTGAGTCTCTACCCATGGGGCCCAGTCGGGCTCAGTCTGAAGGAGTTAAATGGGTTTAACTTCCTGTGCGTCCACCTCCTGAAGGAGGGCCCGGTGCACGATGCTATAGGCAGTAGTCGCAGGTGGGGGCCTTGGCCCTTTGACCGCTGGGGGGGATCAGAGTCCGAGGGGGCCATTTTCCACACCTCCATTGTCAAGGTGGCTGCCTTGAGCTGTGGCCATAAGGTTGTCGGTGCGTCCTGCAGAGAACATCCTCAAACTGGTGAACAGCTTTTTTAAAATATAATTCTCTGTTTTATATTTTTATTGAAAATAAAATCCACGTTCACATATCTGCTGTTGTCAAAAATAGTTTTGCTTTTTTGTTATCCTTAATTCCTTTGACACGATCAGGAAAAGTGGGCCGTGATGTGCTTGTTGACGGGTCATGTTGGCTCAAACCTTCTCAGACCTTCACTTGTTGCAGTTTTGTCCTGTTTTTCTTAATGTGTACAAAACAAAACATGAAGTGTGTCGTCCCACTCTTCAGCTCGTGTGTTTCAGCTGGTCTGCTGCTCTGTTACGAGCTTCCTGTGCAGACGGACCGCACAGGAAGGCCAATCGAGCGTTTTCTCGTGAGCCGAAGCCGCAGCTACCAGCAGACCCTGACGGCGCTCATTCACGAAGTATAAATCGTCTCACGCGACGCTCCTCTGGTGTCACTGCTGTGAAAACATCAAACTCTTCTCTGCTTCTTTTGGCCTGCAGGTGAACATTCAGCCGTCCGAGTGGCACCGGGCTCTTCTCCTGCCCCAGGCATGGAGGGGCTTCATGAGCCGGACGTTCCACGCCGTCCTGCAGGTTGGTGCTTCTGCTCTGTTTACGCCCAAAGCTAACACTAAAGGGATATTTCACACATTTTTACGTGGAGTTTTGTGTAAAAGTTACAAGTGGGACTTCCGTACTTCAGAATCTGTAGCACATCTGGTGAAGCCTGTGGTCACTTCCTCCAAGAGTTATTCTGCCAAAATATCAGCGTCGGGTGGATTTGACAGCAGTGCAGATGTTTAAATAAAAGTGTTTACATAAACTGCAATAACATTTTCAATTGTGAGGATGGTGAAATCTTCTTTGGAGGTGACTCCTGTGGGATTGGACTGACAAACTCATAGGGACTACCATAATTCCCGGACTATAGAGCGCACCTGAATATAAGCTGCGCACACTGAATAAATAAAAAAATTTTAAAAGAAAAACAATTTTGTACATATATAAGCCTCCTTTGTGTGTAAGACGTGGGTGTTAACGTTGTAACATTTATTTATGTAGAATATATTATGTATGTACAAATTATGTAGAAATATATATTTATGTAGAATTTTTTAAAACTTTTAATACATACAGAAATATGTACAGTAAATGTTTCTTTTTTTATTTATTTTTTGGAACAGTGCTGGTAACACAGCTGGTTAAAAAAAAAATTGCCTACCATGAAGTCATCGATCGCTATACTATATAAAATATATATATTATATTATATATATTTATATATTATATAAAAAAAATATTATATTCCTACTGCTTGCAAAGCAAAATTGCTCTGTGAGCATGTGAGACTCACATGCTCTGCGCAAGCAGGTGAATCCCCCACCCCCATTTCATTGGTTCGACTGTTGAGTAAATTCATTGGTCAGATTGTTTTTTACCTTTATTTATACAGGTAGTCTCATCAGTACATGTCTCTTGGGGGGTGGGTCCTCATGATTCAATGACACTACCTCATTGGTTCATTGTGGTTGACTACCGGTCACATGGCCTCAGAGAGGGATTATGGGTAAAATGTATGTGTATCATTAATCATTTTGATTAGCAGTTTATCATTGTTCTTTTAGTGATAAGTCTGTTCTTGTTAGTTTATGTGTTCATTATGTGTTAGTTTGTGTTGGGCCGTTCAGTAGAGTAACCATGAGTGAGAGGTAGTTATCATGAAGACCTGTGGGGTTCACTCTGTCTGTGTGTGTCACGAGGACCCGCCCCCAGGAGAGGTGTATTGGACAGCTATGTGAGTGCCGGGTGTAACAAAGCTAAATGTTTTGGCAGCATGAAGCTCGTTAACCCGTAAAGAAAAAGATCCATAAATTAGCCACAGCATTGTATAAGCCGCGGGGTTCAAAGCGTGTGAAAAGTAGAGGCTTATAGACCGGAAATTATGGTAAACATTGTTTCAAACTGAGGTTGTTCAGAGCTACAGGTAGGATATTCACTGCTCTTAGCATGTCCACAGAACCCCACTTCAGATTGTCCAGAATGTTCCTGTAATAAATTAGCAGTACGCAGCAGTGCAGTAAAAGAGACTAATTTCTGCATGTGGTGAACTGTTTTGTGTGCTCAGGGTCGACGAGCTGATCTGGAGATGCAACAGAAGCAGGCCAAAGAGAACCCCCAGGAGCTGCAGTACAGACAGCACTGTGCCTGGCTGTGGTGAGCCCCGCCCTCACACATGAGCCACCTCCACACCGCACAGGACACTTAGTTGGAAAGGTCCCTCTGAACGCTGAGTCAGCCAGCACTCATATCGTCTTGTTTTTATACCTCCCACCAAAGGGAGGACGTGTTATGGGCGGCTGTGGCTGAGTGGTTAGAGCAGTCATCCTCCAATGGGAGCGTTGGGGCTTCAACTCCACCAGCAGTCACATGCTGAAGTGTCCCTGGGCAAGATGTGTGTCCCATCAGTGTATGAGTGTGATACAGCACCGATTAATCTTTGTATAGATCTAGTAGAGTGCTGTATGAATGGATAAATGAGGGCACAGATTGTTGTAAAGAGCTTTGAGTGTCTGGATAAGATGGAAAGATTTTATATAAGTACAGTCCATACGTCCATAAACTTCCTCTTGTCCCACCATTAACTTCTGATCCTCTCAAGATAATGTAATGAAGTTGATTCACATACGCATCATCACTAGACAGAGTGTTGCATACACTTTTCATAAGCCCAGTTCCAAGGTCACGGTCATGAATCAAGGTCAAAGTTATAATTAGGTCTTTGTTTGTAAGGGCCATTGCTATAGATTGCTGTATAATAGTTTATTGACTGCGTATAATGTCGTACACTGTACTCGTGTTTATTTTTCATACACAATCTAACTACTTGTTGGTGTTGTTTTATATTTTATGTTTTTATATGAAAACGTTCAACATTCAGGAGTCGGGTGCTGTGATTTGTGTTGTTTGTAACTGTGTCTTTTATTTACAAATAATTTCTTCAGTGACATCTTAGCTATGTTTACATGCGCAGAATTCTTTGACCGGATTGAAATGTGTTCTGTTTGAATAATTCAAATGTGTTGTTTACATGGGCACAATCTGTTCATGATGAGCGTTTACATGCAGCGGGCTTTGTTCTGAACAGCAGTACTGACATGCGCAGAGTGGTAAACTCTCCTTAAAAAAAACACCGAAGAAGAAGTTCTACTTCTGGGGTGAACGTAAACAAACCTGAGCACCCAAAATGGACCCGCGACAGGTTTTAATGATGGTGGAGACGTTATTGCACTCCCTGACTGAGCTACAGGCAATACAGATCATTTTGAGCTCTTTAAAAGTTTCTAGTAGAAATGTTGTGTCGCTCACCGACCAGTTTTGCTCCCCTGACATGCTAATATTATTAGCATTAGCCAGGCGGAAATGGCAAAGTCGCACATGCGCAGTCAGGTCAGTTTTTCACGATCAGATAAAAACGAACAGATCAAGCGTTTACATGCGCACCGATCGGGTTACGGATCGGCGTAAACCACCCGTTTCGTTCAAATGTCCAAAAGTAAAAGAAAGTTTCAGTAAAAATCCTTCCAGCTGCACAGCATCCGATACCAGAGGAAACAGTCATCCAAAAGAAGTGATTTACCTCCAGAAAAAGAGGAATTAAAGTTTTCAAAAGCAAGATCTCAGAATGAAAGTAACAGCTGCTCCAACATGCAGCCACCCTGAGCGGCACAATTCTAGAATGAATTCAGTAATAATCATTACTGCATTCTTACAGGAAGTGACATTTCTCTAGTTTAATTTAACATTCTTGTTTTCTTCTAGTGGCCTCTGTTCATTTTAGCTTTGTGTAACATGAAATGACAGAAACATAATTAACTGTGATAAAACATAATTTTTTTTATTTGATTACAGTAAAAAATTAGACAGTTGTGTCCTAATTTAGAATTTACAGACAAAAAAAATGTTTATTAACAAGATAAAAAAACAAGTTAAAAGCTTCACATTAATCTAAGATGCAAAGAAAACCAATGTGTTTGAGCAAACCTGCTGTGAGTTGAGTCCTGCTCCTCTGATCAGAGGAGAAAGTTTTTTTGTAGATCTTTGTTTTCCTCCTCTTATCTTCTGCTCCTCATAGTGTTTTACTCTATATTGTGTCTTCTCCCACAGGACCAGAGATCAGCTGGCAGATGTCATCAAAACTGCTACAAAGTGAGTTTTTAGCTTGTTTACATTCACAGGATCTGTTCATGTCTGTGTAATGTTCCACCTTCAGTTACAGCAGATTCTGTGTGGTTCTCAGGGACAGTCCAGTTGTTCAGGGAAACTCCATCCTGGCTCTGAGTGGTCTGGCTGCTGTCCTCGCAAAGTATGAGAACAACCTGCCCACTGATGGCAACGGCAGCCTTGGAGTAAGACTTGGAGTTACAAATGAATCGTTGAGGTCTGTTAGAAGCTGAGGACGTGTAGAACACTTTGTGAATGTGGTTCTGTCATTGCAGGCTGGACCAGAATTTGTTCCTACTGCAAGCTGGTTGTCCATGGTTCTGGACACTCTGCTCAGCATCATCAGCAGCAGCTACAAGGCCAGTGGGCAAGTCTTCTCCTGGTTCCTTCATGTAAGTTTCATCTGAATGAAGTACACTGAGTGTGAGGCTGGTCAGACCTGACATAAACTCACAAACTGTAACAATCGTTCAGTGGGTTGAAAAGTATTCAACCCCCCCGGGATTCTTTGTTTTGTTGTCCCTCGTCTTGGATCAAAGGTGGGTGTTGGAGAAAATCTCTCTCACTAATGTTATTTACTCAAAAGAACCACACTCAATGGCAGGAGAAGATTTTTAACTGGTATTTTATACTTGCAAACTTGTATTTTCAGGACAGGTTACATAAATATATGTAATATATAAACTGCTAGCAATTGGTTGTCACACTATTAGCATGTTAGCGCCCTCCTAACATGCTAACAGGCCGTCACGGTGTCAGTCACTGTGTCAGTCACAGTGTAATGTGACACTCTTCTTTAAACATTAAAAAACTAAACTTAGAAAAAAATGCATTTTTGACCAAACAAAACAAACAGCAGCAAGGTAAGAGTCATGTGAATCAACAAAAAAATAACACCAGAAAATGGATTTCTGGAGTGCTTTTTTTTTTTCATTTTTACTTTAGTCAGGAAAATGTCCCATTTGTTTACATTAAGGGGCGGGGCTTAAAACCCGTACTACCTACTAGGAGGAGCTCATCCTTAGTGGCTTCAACTTCCAGCTTCCAGTCTTGTCTCTAGTTATAGTATATATCAGTGGCTAAAACCAACAGAACAGAGGCTAAAAGCTAAAATTAGTAACACTATAGATAGGAGCCAAATTATTCAAAACAATAACTATGAGCTAAAACAAGTAAAACAGTTGAAAGCTAAGGTTATCAGAACAGTAGCTTAAAGCTAAAACCAAGTTAACAACTTAAACATTTTGATACGAGAATGGCGGAAGTAGCTTTAAATATGAAATAGTGAGTCCAAAAAACTTTCAGAACAAACTACAAACAGGAAAAAAAATTATGTGAATGCTGAGTCAGCATTCACACAATAATCATAATAAAACTGATCTTTTTTTTTTTTCATTCAACCTTTATTTATACAGGTTAATCTTATTGAGCCTTGGGGACTCATTTACAAGAATTTTAACAAAGAGTGATGACAACAATGGACAACAAAGACAACAATAGACATGTTGGTGAATAATCTCAGTCATCCAGGACATGATAAATTCAAAAACGTTCAAGACAAAACAAGTGGACTTTATTTGTAACAGAAGACGTTTCGTTCCTCATCCGAGGAGCTCGAATTGAGAAAGCTCCTCGGATGAGGAGCGAAACGTCATCTATTACAAATAAAGTCCACTTGTTTTGTCTTGAATGTTTTTGAACAATAGACAATCATAAAAGATGCATACAAATTGAGATTTTTTTAAACAAGTAAAAATAAAATGGTATTTAAAAGGAAAAGTAACAAAAAAACAGCTAGCTTGTAAGGTGGTGTAGAAAACTAAAAACAGGAACATGTCTGCATTGGTTCTTGCCATGAACTTAACAGATGTTTGAAGCCACTTAGAGAAGTCAAGATCGAGAGCTTCAGATATTTTTGCAAGATATTCCAGGAAACAGGAGTGGAGTAGGAGAAGGTCCTTTTGCCAAGTTCAATCCTCACTGAGGGAACACTGCAGGTAATAATGTCCTGAGAGCGCACGCTGTAGCTGCACTCACTCAGAGACATGTAGATCCAAGTGTCCAATGATCTCATTATATCCAGCTGCTGTGATGGACCTCAGAAACAACATCTCTATGTAATACAGGCTACCACCAAGTGACAGACAGCATGAAGCCCAAGGAACTTGCCACACTGGTTCGAAAGAAAGTTGTAGAGAAGTACAGAACCCTGAACATCTTAACAGAGCTCCATAAAATCAATTAGAAAATGGAATGATGATGCCTCAAAATGAAAACCTGTCGAGAGGCACCACCAAAACTCTCCGAGCAGGTTAGAAAAGCATTAATAAGACAAACATCTAGGTGGCCAAGGGTATCTCTGATGGAGCTGGAAGAATCTGTCCACAGAACCAATATAAGCTGCACAGAGTCACCTCTGAGCTTCATAGAGTCAGGGAAAAGATGTTGGTATAAGAATAAAAACTTGATTGGTTGGAATTTGCCAAAAGACATTAGAGATTGTCCAAACACTAGGACGAGGATACCATGGTCAAATTAAACTAAAATAAATAAAAAATGCTTTTCTTCAGCAGCTACAAGAAGCTGCTCAGAGCTGATGGGAAAGTTGATGCTATAAACAGGAGCATCCCGGAAGAAAACCTGTTGGACTGTAAAATACTTGCAGCAGTAAAATACTTTAAATGTTGTGGTTGTAATGGGACAAGTGGACCATTTTGAGCCACACCACATGTTTATGCTCCGTGGCATTTTAACCTCAGCAGGACAGACTCCCTGCAGAGGATGCTCAGACTAACTGTGATATTTTCCTCCTCCTCAGCGCTCATATTCAGGTGAGAACACAGCGAGTGCCATCGCTCGCTCCTGTGCCAGCCTGGCCTTGTCTCTACTCGTCCCAGTGTTGGTGGTCTGGCAGAGGGACAGTCTGGTCCAGGTTGTCTCGGCGCTGAAGGCCGGCCTGCCGGACTCTCCCACTGCCGATGACTCGCAGGCCATTCAGTTCCATTCAGGCCTTGCCCTCGGCACGGTGCTGTCCAGCCTGCAGCGCCAACGCATCAGGTACAGGGTTGGAGAGAGATTGGTATTCACCCACACACCTGCAGTGTCTCATCACTTTCTGTCTTTACTCAGTGACGTCTCCGCGCAGAAGGACACAGATCTTCTCTTCAGCTCTCTGAAAGCTCTGGAGAGTTGCTCCTTTAACCCCAACCTGGAGTACAAGTGAGTGGTGTGTGGTAGAGAACGTAACCGTTAGCTCTACATCTACAATTGATAAACTTTTGGAGTCAACTGAGTTAAAATGGGCACCACAGCTAAGCAACACTAGCCAATATAAGATTAATAGAAGCTATAGCTCAGCTTGTTTTACAAATATTTAAGGTGGTAGTAGCTGAGAGGCATTAACAACACATGTTCTGAGCACTAGTACATCCCACAAGATCTTATTGTCTGCCGTTGCAGAGTGAAAATGGTATTTGAAATGTCCTCCATCCATACATTTTGTGAGCATAACTTAAACAATATGTGACTTACTGACTTCCATTTTAGTGTGTGGCTGCATCTAGGTTCAAGAAAGGTCAATGGCAATAACTGGGTTGCCATGTTGAAATTCAAGATGGCCACCGCCATGTATGCAAACCAACCACTCCTATCATTTGAGGAAACTATGCTTTCTAGTTTTTAATATTTCTTAAAAGTATACTTTCCTCAAATGATTGGGGTGGCCAAAGATTAATCTATGGAGGTCAGGGCCACCATTGGCCACCTCCTGGCTCTATATTTTTACTAAGGTTATGTACCCACTATACTGTGTACTTTTACTAAGGTCATGTACGCACTATAATGTATACTTTTACTAAGGTCATTTACTCACTGTACTGTGCACTATTACTAAGGCCATGTACTCACTATACTGTGTACTTTTACTAAGGTCAGGTACACACTTTACTGTGTACTTTTACTACAAAAAGAAGAAAAAATAAAGCATACAATAAGGTTTCTATAACCATATCTCAATTCCTTCACTTCATAACATGGTCTTAGTTTAAAACTTTCATGAAAGGCAGCAGGCAATATGCATTCCTTAAATTAATTAATATTTGACATTAGCGTTGAGATTATTTTAACCTAATTTATAAAAGTAATCTCACAACTCCTTTTTCTTGCTGTTCCTCAGCACCGGCTGTGTGTTGGGTCTGGGTCTCGTGCTCTCAGCCCTCTGCAGCAGTGGGGAGCTGGACCATCATGTCCTCATCAGCCAAGCGCTTGACAAGCTGCTGGCCAACCTGCAGGACAGCAGCAGTGGGCATGGACGCATGCTGCAGGAGGTACTGCTCTGATATCACTTTTGTTCTGTTAGCTCCTCTTGTTTCTGCCTCAGTAACCATGGAGTGTGAAACTGAAGATTACTGAAGTATTATTAGTGGTTTATTAGACCTCTGTTCTTCTCCACAGTTGAACTTTGACCCACTTGAATATCTTTCTCTAAAAACATTAAGATTTACTTTCATTTCCTGTTCATTCCAGTCCAGAAAACACTCTTAGTGAAAACTACAATCATTCATTATTCAAACCCCTCAGTGACGGGGGACATCGGCGTACTGCTTGTTTTTCAATGTGCTTTATAAGTAAACTGACCCGACTTTACACCAGCAGCAATTTCACATCACACAGTCGTTATAGTTACTAGTGGAGAGGTGGTGCAGAGGTTAGAAACTGTGGGCCTGTGATCGAAAGATCGCTGGTTCAACTCCCTGTACTGACAACATCAAAATGTGGGTGGGAAAGGTGAAACACCCACACCTGCCTCCATCCTCATTTGCCCCACCCTGGGCCCTTGAGCAAGGTTTTTAACTCCCACCATCTGCTCCCCTGGGTGCACTAGATAGCAGCTCTCTGCTCCACACAGAGGGCTGTGGTAGCTCAGTGGTCTGTGGTTGTGTCAGGAAGGACTTATGTGGTAAAAACAATCACCAAGTCTTCGTGCAAGTTAGTTCCCTCTGGAGACCCCTGAAGAAGGAGCAGCTGAAAGAAGAAGAAAAACTTGTTACAAGAGTACACAGCATTAGCATCCGGCAGTATCACATCCAGAAGTAATTTCATAATATTTCTGTTGATATAATATTGTACAAAATTGATGGTCATGTATATAAAATATATAACCATATAAAATATGGTTAGGATTTTTTTTTTTTTTTTGAGTTTGTAAAGGTTTTAAAATTCTTTAGATGTAGAAATCTACTTTGATTTGACCCGTTTTTTTAAAGGTGCAGTCAGGGAGTGACTAGCGCAGGTGTGTGGTTACTATGGTGACTCTAATGAACCTCTGGCAGCAGCTTTGATGTTTCTTTTATCTACAGTGTGTTAAATAACACATCTGTGTTTTGTCAGCGTAGATTTTTACAAAATTGTCCCAAACTACTGTTGGGCTTCAGAAGAAGAAACGATGAACATTGGGAGTTTAGGCTGTAAAGAAGCTCATCATTTCTTCAGAAATCTTCCTGCCAAAAGTATTAATATTTCGCCAGTACCTAGATTCTGATGTTACACAAAAGAAGATTTTTTACACACTTTAATACTGTGCTTGCTAAATACTCTGCCACTGATAAGCCCGACTCCACACAGCACTCTTCTTATTAGTTCTTCTCAAGTTTAAGTAGCTGTATTATCCCCAAGGGGCAATTTGTTTCACTGTCAGTAGATATAGAACATCCAGAATAGACACTGAGACGTTAAAATAACAAAAATCATCAGTGTTCGTTGAGAAACCTGATCTCTACAGGGATGAATGAGCTTTTCAGTCTGTTCGTTCTACATCTGGGCAGCAGATACCTGCGTCCAGATGGAAACAACCTGAACTCACCATGGAGTGATGATCAGGATCTGCCAGAATCAGCCTGGCCTTGTTCACTGACCTCACCTTGTGTAGGTCAGTGAGGTTCTGTAGGTCAGTGAGGTTCTGTAGGTCTATACCAGCAGTTTTGCTGCACATCCTGACAATCTGCAAGAGTTTGTTCCTGTTTATTCATGTCAAAAGTCCAAACCAACAGATGAAGATGAAAGTTAAGAGACTCAATAAAACATGAATAAAACATTCTCATAAAAGTAGAATCAACATTCAAACCACAGAGCTTCAGATAAAAATATATTCTCTGGTGGGCCTTCTTTCAAAGTGAGTTCACATGGGGGTCAAAGGTCAGTTTGTCATCAAGAACAGTTCCCAGATGTTTATATTGTTGCACCACCTCAACAGCCTCACTATTACTGACCACAGGAGCTGCAACCGAAGAGTCTCTTGAAATCAATGACCATCTCCTTTGTCTTATAAACATTTAACTTTAAAAAGGAAGACTCACACCATTCAGTGAAGTCCCCGACCACAGGCCCGGGGTCTGAGTCGTCACTGCTGAGACGGGACAGGATGACAGAGTCATCAGCAAACTTTAAGATGTGACGCTGTTGGAACTGGCTGCAACAATCATTTGTAAATAAAATGAATAAAAAGGGTGCAAGAACACAGCCTTGAGGGGACCCAGTAGAGGAGGTGGAGGTGGTTTGCTATTATAGTGGATGTTAACCTGCTTCCCACTCTGTGGTGATCGTCAATGCAAACTAGACGGGATCATAACTGGTCTTTTCGTGTTCAAGCCACTCCTCCCATTGTAATCCTTAATCACCCTATAATCAGACTTAAATTGCTTTCGCTTTTCCCTGCTCTGCTTATAAGTCCGGGTGTAGCCATGCTGCACCATCATCTCTGATATCTCTCAGTAAATACATAAATTTTTTGTGGTGCCATCTCAACACGATGAGGAAGTGGCGGTTCAGATATAGTCTGCAGTGTTACTGGGCAGGTCATCCAGTGACGTAACTCCTCTGGCCAATCAACAGCTGCTGTCTGCTTACGTCAAAATCAGCCCCTCAGAGCAGTCTGCTTGGAACCTCAATCAAGGTGGTCCCATAAACCGGACTGAGTGGGGGTGGGTGCTGGCAGTGAGCAAACCCTTAAGTGGAACCAATGAGAGTTGAGACAGTGGCAAAGCTTCATAAGTGTCTTTTTTTCCCGTAGTCAGTTTTATTATCATTAAGAAATTATTCAAATCATTTACGTCTGTTTATGTTTTAGGAGTAAAGGTGATTTTGTTCTGTGTGTAATTTGAAAACAAAATCTGGAAACTTCAACAATTTTTTCCCTTTCAGGTGTTGTCTTACTCCGTCGCCTGTGTGGGCGTCTCTGCCTTCAGTGCAGGTCTGATCGATGCGTCGAAAGCTGAGGAGATCATAAGCTCTCTGCGCACCCTGACCGAGGAGAGCCAGCAGGTCAGGAGGACGGCCCATAACTGACAACTGTTGTAAAATATAAAAAACTAGAGAAACTGCATTTCCTGCAAAAATGCAGTGTGAATGCTTATTGCTGAAGAACTTGCAGAAAAATTGCTGAAATTTGCTAACAATAGCTGAAAGGAGCAAAAAGAAGTTAGACAGACCTGCCCAGGGTGTCCCCCGCCTCTCCCACAGTGACTGCTGGATATGGGCACCAGTGACCCGAAAAGGAAGAAGTGGGTAAAAATGATGGATGGATAAAAGCAAATACATTTTATTTTTAATTTCTCTTTTAATATGGTGAAACTGGTCTGTTTTCTCCAGATGATCTCACCGTCATCTCTTGCTGACTGTAAAGTATCTTCATGTATAAATAATCTCTGTGTAAGTTCCAGGGAGTCATTTTGGACCCTCTAATGTCTCTGTTGTCTCCAGACTCCAGGGTTCTCTCTGGCTCTGGGGTTAGTAGTCCATGGACTGTCTGTGTCGGGCCACGGTAAAGCTGAGGAGCTCCACCCTCGTCTACTGGCTGCCTGGATCAAAATCCTCCTAGCAGAGGTGCAACACGTGCAAAAGTCTCTGAGTGTATTCAGAAGCAGCGTTGTTGACAGATCGTGGATTATTTTGGTTCAGCTGTAAGGATTGACAGAGTGAGGACGGTGGGTTTGTCTTTTTCTTCCAGGGTTGTCCCACAATGCAGCGGCTGGCTGCTGCCAACGGTCTGGTGGCTCTGGTTGGATCGGAGAGTTACCTCATCCAGGTGAGACCTGGCGCTCCTCAGAGCAGCATTCACCAGTCCTGGTCTTTATCAATGTTTTAGGGAAACAGTGACCACCTACTGTGAACAAATCTCCTTTGATCAAGATGCTTTTTGTCGTTGCAGCTGAAAGATGAGCTGGACCTTTCCTCCCAGCAGCAGAGCAGACTGAACGAGGTTATTCGGGCCATGACACAGGTAGCACACGGGCTGCCAATATTAGATTTTCTGCTTTTTGCAAAACTTGGTGACTTTTTCTGGTTCCAGAACATACATGACATTTTTTATTTATTTTGCATTTATTTATGATCGGCAGTTTAACAACAGTTTTTAATTCTCTGTTGCAGATCATAACCTTTTCTGGAGCCATTGGTTTGCAGTCCAACAGTGCCTGTTTGGTCGGCCATTTGTACCTGGCCCATGTTTCCACCAGTCACAGTCACACAGCAGGTAATAAGAATTTACTTGTGAGGCCTGCCCTCTTTTGAAGACTTGTCTCAGTAAATAATACTACAGTATATGGGTTTTCATACTCTGTTGCTGAGCGAAAAGGGGCAATATGGAAAAACCGTCTGTTCATCTGTTCATGCATGTTGTGAGCACGATAACTTGAGAAATAAATGTTACCGACTTCCCTTTTGTATGTGGCTGCATCTAAGCGTAAAATAGATTCCTTTCGAAATTAGATTGCCACGTCAAAATCTAAGATGGCTACCACCACCTCAATCCAATCCAACCTGTCACCTCCATTATTTAAGGGATCTATATTTTCTAGTTTTTATATTTCTTAAAAATATAGTTCCCTGTAATGATTGAGGTGGCCGGTGCGGTAAAGGAAGATGAATTTTTGGTGGCCAAGGCCACCATCAGCCACCCCTTGGCTCCGCCATTGCACCTGGTGGTGGATAAAATTTAGTCTGTGTGTAAATTTGTCACTTGTTCACCACTTAGTCTACTATATTGTGAGTGAGTGAAGGAGAATGAGCTGACAAATAAGTGGACAGCTAGAATGCAGTGCTTTTGTTCAGGTCACGTGGCTACTAAGAGTCCATTCCTTTAGGATCTGATCAAGCACGTGGAAAATATGTCTGTCGCGATAAACAATAAATCAATTAATCACATGATAAATGAAAATTATCAACCTCATTTTCATTTATCGGCTTTTTCATTTCTTAGTGTGTCTCTCTTTCTACTGAAGACACTGGATGACAAAAGGCTCGACTCCGGTGTTCTTCACTATTTTAATCGTCCAAAATCACATTTTTGGATCGTTAAAAGCAGCTAAGCTACGAGCTAAGCTAACAGGCCGACCATGGTATAAAACCTCCGTCTTGTCGAAGCTCCAAAATTCACGGTTGAAACCAGTGTCTTCCTGTAAAAAGTTGTTTTTCTCTGCAAAAAGAGGCTGAGAACTTGTTTACTGATATTTTTATTAAAAGCTTTGTGTGAAAAATGCTATGCTAAAGAGCTCAAACCACACTGAGCATCTGCCATTTTGAGAGCCAAAGAGAGACAGCCCATGTCATGTCAAGAGGCCTCCCTCCCATTTTTCTTAAAGAGACCAGTCTCTACATTACGGCAAAGACTGGTTCATCCCAAAGATCCAGTCCCCCGGCCCAAACAGAGTAATATTGTGTATGCTGTTCAGTGTCAGGAGGGCTGTGATCAGTCTTACATCGGGGAAACTAAACAGCCACTGGCCAAAAGGATGGCTCAGCACAGAAGATCAACATCATCAGGCCAGGACTCTGCGGTCTACACTCATCTCCAGGCCAGCGGTCACTCTTTCAGGGATGAAGATGTTCACATCCTGGACAGAGAGGAACGATGGTTTGAGAGAGGAGTAAAGGAGGCCATCTTTGTGAAAAGAAATCCATCCATCCATCCATTTTCTTTACCCGCTTATTCCATTTTTGGGTCACGGGGGTCGCTGGTGCCCATGTCCAGCAATCACTGTGCGAGGGGCGGGGTTCACCCTGGACGGGTCGCAAGTCCATCACAGGGACACATAGAGACAAACGAGACAAACAACCATTCACCCTCACTCTCACCTAGGGACAATTTAGAGTTACCAATCAGTCTAACATGCATGTTTTTGGTCTGTGGGAGGAAACCGGAGTACCCGGAGAAAACCCACGCATGCACGGAGAGAACATGCAAACTCCACCCAGAAAGGCTCCAGACAAGGAAGCGATCCTGCAACTTTCTTGCTGTGAGGTGACAGTTGTAAGAAGTGCACCGCCCCACTGTAGGATTTATCAAAAAGCAAATCTTAAAAGTAGACAAGCTGTCAGCCTCACACACAGAAACTGGAAGTTGGTTCTTCAAGAGAGGAGCCTGAGAAGTGAAAGATCTTCCTCCCATTGTACTTTAGGAACTCTAGGAACCACAAGTAAACCTGTAGTCTGAGAGCAATGCGCTCTGTTTGGAAAATTATGATAATTTTAGGCACAATATTAATGCTGATTTGTGTATTTTATTTTCCATTTATAACCACTCAGTTCCTCAAGATTTCACATACCTCTCAGAAAAAAGCGTCATCAGGTCCATCATGGACTTCATCACAGAAGCTGGCAAAAAAGGTTGTGCACCTGAACATCGATAGGTACAGTGTGTTTTTAAGCAACTTATCACAGCTGAATATCCCTCTCTCTCCATGTGTTCCTAGGCCCAGAGTTTTCTCATCCTGCTTGGGTGAAGACAGCACTGACCTCACTGGCTTCAGTTGGACTCAACTTCCAGTTCCCCCCAGTTAACTGGAGTGCTGTCCTGTCGCCTCTAATGAGGCTGAGTTTTGGTGAACACTCTTTTGTCTCTTTGCAGCAGGGTCACTCCCAGGGTTTAGACACTGTAATCATTAGTTTTTTGTTTTTGACAGGAGAGGATGTTCAGCATCAGTGTGTGGTGTTGGCAGCGTCTCAGGCTCAGTCTTCTCAAAGTGCTTCCCTCTTTCTGGGCTCGTGGCTGTCACCCCCTCTTGTGCATAGTCTTGGTGTAAGTAATAAATGTTTATCTGATCCCTTTTACAACCAACTTGGCCACCGTAGATTAATCTTAGGCCACCCCAAGCATGTGAGGAAACTACTGTACTTTTAAACAACTATTTCTAGTTTTAATATATATTAAATAAATATTATATATATATATATATATATATATATATATATATATATATATATATATATATATATATATATATATATA